GTAACTTGAAATAAGCCACTCAAATATAATTGATTTTTATGTGATCGAAAGACTGTATAGAATTTGAATAATAAAATCCGTTCTTAAATTCATATCCTTTCTCCCTCCCAAACCATTCTTGAAACTCGAAGCGTTATTTCAGATCAGATCTACATCAACATCTTAAATAGTGAATTCTCTCGTTTTGTTCTAATATTTTTTTGGTTTCTTGTTAACTACCATTGTGGTGATTTCTTTACTGGAGAGAAATTAGGAGTTACATTTCCTATGTCTGAGTATTTCCCGAAGAACTGATGTGAATTGTCAAAGGTGTATAAATAAAATAGAAACTTAGGGTGTGTAGTGTCTAGACTTTTGTAGATCTCGTCCTACGAGCTATCAATATTGGTTACTGAAAGCTCCCTGTAACGGACAGAGATTTATGTATAATAAGGAAGCTCAAAAAGAGTACAAAGTAGTAAATAATTTTATTCAACTAAAAGATTATTTACATTTATATAGAAATGTCATGCTGAATACCAAAGTCCGAGAACTCTATTAAGTAATTCTTTTCATGCAAACAAAATTTGTCTATGGACTATTGACAAAACTTGCCAAAGTAATGTCAAACCACCCACAATGTTCATGACGAACCTCCGGTCTCACAGGAAACCTTTAGCTTCATATAGAACTACTGCTTATGGTATATAGATCGTATAACCCCGCAGGCAGCCGCTTTGGGGCTATTGCATGTCTCAGTTACGGATAAAGGAGAAGGGTTAGGCACTGCGTTTGCCATCCCATCCCGTGAAAAACTAACTGGCTAAGAGTGCACTGACTGAAAAAAATAATTCAGACCATTCTAAATCTGCCCTGGAAGTTAGAAGGCCCTTGTTCAGAAGAATTATTATGTTTCATGATGAAAGACGAGTTCCGTCGGAAATCACGAGGCCGATGCCCCTTCTCACAACCAGAGCAATATATACATGTGATTGTGGGAGATTGGAAGACTGTTCTAAATCGCTTCAGAAATGAAAAGATACGAGCTAGTGGTACTTGAAATCAGCGGAACTCGCTGGACGTATGTTGGGCAACTAAGACAGGTTTCAGGAGCGATGCTGTCATACTTCGGCCATGAACAAGTGAATGCCTCACACACATCGAGTTGCACTGAGGCTGTCCAAACAAGCACAAAAGGCACTAGTAGGATGGGAATTTCATGGACCCAGCATCGTTGAAGCATCCTTCAAAATAAAGAAAGAGGACATTACAATGAACATCATCCAATACTATGCACCTACCAACGACTACAATGACGACGTTACAGATCAATTCTACGAGCAGCTTCAGTCAATCATCCAGAGATGCTCATCAAAGGATTTGACAAATTTGATAGGATGCCTAAATGCAAAAGTTGGCATGGACAACACTGGATATGAAGATATCATGGGATGACATAGACTGGGAGAAAGGAACGAAAATGGTGAGATATTTGCAAATCTCTGTGCCTTCAACAAGCTGATCATCGGAGGCCCAATATCCTCATACAAACGCAGCGAAAATGCGGGACCAGACAACATTCCAGCAGAAGCAATGAAAGTAGACGTGGCAGCAACTGCAAAAACATTCCAAATTCTCTTCAACAAGATTTGGGATGAAGAACGAGTAACAACATATTGGAAAGAAGGAAACCTCATCAAAATATCAAAGAAAGGCAATCTCAGTAAGTTTGAGAACTACAGAGGCATCATTCTTCCCTCTATACCAGGCTAAGTCCTCAACAGTGTATTGTTAAACGGAAGGAAGGACTCCGTAGACACCCAACTTCGAGATCAATAGGTTGGATTTCGTAAGGATCGATCGTGTACTGACCAAACTGTAACATTGCAGATCATTGTGGAACAATCAATTGAATGGAACTCACCACTATACATCAACTCCATTGACTATGAGAAAGCATTCGATAGCGTGGACAGGAAAACACTGTGGAGGCTTCTTCGACACTACGGCGTCCCTAACAAGATAGTCAACATCGTGCAGAATTACTACGATGGATTAAACTGCGAAATCGTGCAAGGAGGACAGCTAACAGACTCTTTTGAGGTGAAGACCGGTGTCAGGCCAGGTTGCTTACTCTCACCCTTTCTACTGATCGACTGGATTATGAAGACGTTGACATCTGGAGGGAGGCACAGAATACAGTGGACAGCGAGGATGCAGCTGGATGATCTAAGCTTCGCAGATGATCAAGCCCTTCTATCCCACACTCAACAACAAATTCAGGAGAAAACGACCAATATAGCAGCAGTGTCTGCACAAATAAGTCTCAACATACACTTGTGAAAAATCAGGATCCTCCCATACAACACAACATGCACCAACCAAATCACACTTAACGGAGAAGCGTTGGAAGATGTAAAAACCTTTACATATTTGGGCAGCGTAATTGGTGAGCAAGGTGGATGTGATGCAGATGGGAGGGCGTGGATCGGCAAACCAACGACTGCATTTCTATAATTGAAGAATAACTGTCAACAAACACCAAAGTCATAACTTCAAATACAATTGTCAAGACAATACCACTGTATGGAATCGAAACTTGGCGAACTAAGAACGCCATCATCCAGAAGATAAAAGTATTCATTAACAGTCGTCTACGCAAAATACTCCTTATCCGTTAGCCAGACACCACCAGACGGGACATGCCGTCGGAGAGATCAAAAGAGATCCCAGCAGAGGAGGAGATCAAGAAGAAGCGCTGGGAGTGGATAGGATGGAAGTAATAATTATTATTTATTTTTCAGACCTTGTAAGACCTGAGTTAGGAGTAGTATCCCAAACAAACTACAACAGAAAAGTATACACTTGGAGTAATTCTCACACACAAAACTTTCATAAACGATCTTCACCGACTCATACAACCCCTCCGTGTATCACAAGACCACTTTGTTACCTTCACTCATGGTTCCATTTACTATATTATAAATACTAAGGGAGCAGGTAGGACTTACAGCAGTACGCCTACCGGTCCTACTTACTGGCAAACTACTCAGAACCATCCAGGAGACTTACCTTACGTGTATCTCGTCCAACTACTCCATTGCTCGTGCGAGTTGTTGCCTTCCTCACCTTTCCGTAGTTGTCTATCTCACAACTTTCTACCACTTCGAAAGGCCAGTTTCCGTCAACTGAAATGTCTGAAGTTACAATTACTACATCGCCTTCCTTTAAATTGCAACGTTCAACTAACTTTTTTGGAGTGACTGTGGAGACGGTAAATAATCTCTTAAACACCATTTCCAAAACACGTTGACCAGATAATTAACCGGTTCCCAGTGTTTGACGTACTTATCTGCAATGATACCCCGTCCGTCTACTCCGTCATATTTCCTCGATAACAGCAAATTATTCGGCGATAAAGCTGGCTTATCGTTAGCGTCCCCGGTCATTGGGGTCAAAGTTTGAATACTTACTATCTTTTCAACTTCGATCAAACAAGTGGCTAAGGTTTCATAAGTCGAAATCTGTTGCCTGATGACCAGCAACAACAGTCGGTGTCTGGACCTAGTCGCTCTTTCGCTACCCCTTATTTATAACTGGACAGTGGTGTGCTGAAGCTCTACTTCTGATCGGCTTTCTACATCAATGAGATAATTAATATCTTCGATCTTAGAAAGCTGATACAATCGGCATTTGCATCACATCTAAAAATTTGAATTGTTGTTAGAAATTTCGTTTGTAAGAAATGATTTGTTTGTTTGACAGAGTAGTAGCAAGTACGTTTATTGTCAAATAGGTTAATGATCAACAAAAATCAAGTAGGAATAAGATGTCATTATTTGCAATAATAACTATAACGATAAGTGAATCCATTGAACCATTCCAATTTCATACTCGCCATTAATAAGCAGCTGATTGAAATAGCATATTAAATAATAACATTTATTAATAATAGTAATAATAATAATAATAATAATAATAATAACAATAATAACAGTCATCATAATCAATTTGTTCTCTTGATCCTAATTTGTATATTATTATAGGGTGTTGTGGAAATCACTGAACGATAAAACCATTGTTAAACAACCACCTATAATAAGTAATTTTGTTCTTATTCAGCAAATCACTTCTAGAGGTGATAACTGGAGTTCAATTGAGGAGGCATGATCAAAGTAATTTAACTGTGTTGGACTTCAGATGGTCATCAACATTTGTAGTAGGCAATGATGATGCGATACTGCGGATTAACTGAGGTAACCGAGGGCAAAACCGTTGAATGGGGACTTAGTTGGCTGAAAGTTAAACACTCATCATGAGACTTGATGGTTGATGAGTTCGATACCCAATAGGATCATGAAAGTGTGCTGATAGTCTCATAGGAAACCGAAACAGCAACTCAGTGCTTTAGTTCATTGATGTTCATTTTCAAATATATATATATATATATATATATATATATATATATATATATGTTGTGATAAAAAAATGCTTTCTACACATGTGTTTGTGTAAAGTTTTGTGAAAACGTTAGAAAATAATTCAGTGAAGCAATAAGTATTTTACAAGGAGCAAATACAAGTGGGTTTGTGTGAGTATGTGTAATTGAATGCTTCGTCGGTTGTCGTAAACTTCATTCACCTTTGTGGCATTCCATCAATAACCAAAACATCAGTACAAATAAATAACTGATTCGAAATGGATATTAGGGAAGATAACTAATCATATCACAATGGTCAAGGAAGTTCTATTTAAATAGTTCATTAATATTTAAGAGAAAGTAATCTGAAACATACATACATATGTGGACAGAAATACCAAATAGCTGTGACTGTAAGAACAAATCACACACAAACACACACACACACACATACACGTATGATCAACCGTTTTTTCATTCGAAAATACATTTTCACAACAGTAAATTTTGTCAACTTCTTGTGAAAGAGGAGAATCAAGATCATCTAAATTGACTTCATGATTAGACCAACGTTGATTTGGTATGTTGTAACTGAGTACCGTTACAACTATCAATATTCTCTTGTTCCTCAATATCATTCCAACTATTCATATTGTGATGTTTAATTGTTGAAATGGTTAATTGTAAAGCATTAAAAAAAAATCGTAATCTTCATTTAAAACATCAATTTCACTGGTCTCGGAGCATACATTTGTTATGGATGCAATTGAAGATGTTGTAGGAATTAACAACGATGATTAAGATGATAATGGGGATTCGATCATTTCTGCTTGATTCGATATCCATAGTAATCTCGATGATTATACTGTTATATACCTTCACTATCCTCTTTACTTCTGTGTTCCACCATCACCGTCATCCTCTTCTTTTTGCTTTCTGATTTATTTATTGTCAAATTTGTCAAATTAGTCACTGACTCAGATAGACTAACTATCTTGATCAATATTATTGATAGACTATGATTATTTGACCATCAACCATCGTTAGTTAAATATGAATTAACACTATGAAATGGTAAATTTAGTAGATCCAGTAATTCATTGTCATCAAGATCATTCAATGGTAGAATTTGGTCCAGTCCACTAGTTTTTAACAATTCTTCTTCAGATATTTCATGATTATAAATATCATTGTTATTGTCATTGTTGTCATCACCATCATTTAGGTCAAATGATGAAATTGGTGAAGTCGATGTACCGTGGCAATTGTCATTGAATATTGAACGAGTTTCCTGATCATGTAAATCACATTGTTCTTGTTCAGTGAAATTTGGTGGAGATAAATTTGTAGGATTATCTATACGCCTGCATTTTAAAGAATTCGTCATGATATTCCGACCCTTGTCAATGAGAACATGATCATCATTATGTTTTCTTCGGTAAGTATTTATTTCTGATGATGTTTTTACTATAGGAGAACTATGTTCTATCACGTCTATCAAATCAGGTAATTTAGGAAGCGTTTGATTTTTCCAAGCAACTAAGAATTTATGAGTGATTCTATCAGTGAGTAATTGCTTTTGCAATTCAGGATTAATACGCCAAAAATCACAGCAACTTTCTGTGGTTTCCTTGCGTCTGGGTACTCGTCGAAAACACGGACTACATGTAAGGTGCTTACGAATAACATCCTGACCAGAATGAAATATGAATATGTGAAGATATATATATATATGTACATAAACTCGTACAAATCAAATAAGAACGAAAGAGTGATGACCGAATTCCATCAACTAGTTTAAAAGTTTCATGTTCATCTCTCTCTGGACACAATCAAATGAGTCTATCCTCATCATATTGACTATTGATTGTTGTTGAGTGATTTCGTTAAAAGATACTTGGTTGACAGTATATCGTCTTCACTGTGATCATTCAAATCTTCTGGCTTCAATTCTGTGTAACGTTATTGTCATTAATAATATTGATGACTTCAATTATCATCCCCTGGTTAATATCTACGATTGAATGTGGCCTCACAAATATTTGTTAAAAATGTGTGCGGCTCACCTACACATAAACATAGCCAAATGGTTAGCTAAATTACTTAGCTCAATTCGTGTAAGTTTTCCCTGAAAGATACATTTGAGTTAATTGATGTTCTCGATGACATTAATATTAAACAAAAAAGACTATGCATTATTTTGATGTAAAATCCCCTTTTAACCAATGTTCCCTTAATGAAAACTGTTAACTTTCGTTGTGACTGTATATTAAGTAATCTCCCTTTTTTTCCCACTCGACCAACTCTACTAAGAGAATTAATTTTATTATTCACTGAGAAAGTTCATTTCACGTTTGATGATGAACATTTCCAGTAAGTTGATGGCGTTGTTATTTGTAGTCCCTTGGGACCTCTCTTACCTAATGTTTATATGAGCACATCAATAAGCTTACTCTGTATAGGAGATATATTGATGATATTTTAATTATATGATATAAAAAAACTCAACGCCTCTCAGTTACTGGACAACTTCAATAGTCTTCAGAATGACATTGTACTAACCAATGAACCAGAAAATAATAACCGATTGCCCCGTTTTGGAAATACTGTTGAGTCGAAGGGAGAATGGAACTATAAAGCGTTCTGTCTATAGAAAACTAACCAGGACTGGACAGTATCTAAATTTCAGCAGTTTTTGTCCACTGTAATATAAGCGAGGTTTGGTAAAATGCCTCTGCAATAGGGCTCAAACGACTTGCACCACGTATACACTTGAAAATGATGCAAAATTCTTAACTGAAGCATTGATTTCAAACGGCTATCCGCTAAAGTTCATCAATGGGTGTAGAAATCAGTTAAGACAAAAGCCAGTTTTTCATTCTGCTAAGAAGAAAAATGTTTATATCACTTTACCATTTAGAGGTGAAGCAAATCGACTAGTCTTAAGACAGGGACTAAAAGCAGCCATGGAGAAAACATACAACGCTGCTAGACTGATTATCATTGAAAAGACTAAGCCCATGATTTCACATAGACCTAAACGTTGCTCGAATGACTACATCACATCCCGTTGCATTATCCATTTACATGTTTGTGTGGCCACACATACATAGGGGGGAGTAATCGGACTTTGCAATCAAGCAACCAACGGTTATGGAACATGTACCTAAGTGGCTTCAAAATCAGTCAACGTCAGATGAGCCGATTAACGTAGGAAATAGGAAACCATGTCCATCGATCGCAAAACACATAATCGGGACAGGGCATAAGATTGACATCAACTTTACTTACTTACTTACGCCTGTTACCCCCAATGGAGCATAGGCCGCTCACCAGTTTTCTCCAACCAACTCTGTCCTGGGCTTCCCTCTCCAGTTCTGTCCAATGTTTGTTCATTCCTCTCATATCTTCCTCTATTTCTCGGCGTAGTGTGTTCCTTGGCCTTCCTCTTTTCCTTTTGCCTTGAGGGTTCCATGTGAGGGCTTGTCTAGTGACGCAGTTGGGTGCTTTTCGTAGTGTATGTCCTATCCACTTCCACCGCTTCTTCCTGATTTCCTCCTCCACTGGAATCTGATTTGTTCTCTCCCACAGTTCGTTGTTGCTGATGGTGTCTGGCCAACGAATACGAAGTATTTTGCGTAGACAGCTGTTAATAAACACTTGTATCTTCTGAATGATGGCTTTGGTAGTTCTCCATGTTTCCGCTCCATACAGTAGAACTGTCTTGACATTTGTATTGAAAATCCTTATTTTGGTTTTGGTTGAAAGTTGTTTGGAGTCCCAGATATTTTTCAACTGTAGAAATGCAGCCCTTGCTTTGCCAATCCGCGCCCTCACATCTGCATCGGATCCACCTTTCTCGTCGATGATGCTGCCAAGATATGTAAAGGTGTTAACGTCCTCCAAGGTATCTCCATCAAGCGTGATTCGGTTGGTGCATGTTGTGTTGCATCGGAGAATTTTGCTTTTTCCTTTATGTATGTTGAGACCTACTGCTGCAGAGGCTGCTGCTACACTGGTCGTCTTCTCTTGCATTTGTTGTTGAGTGTGCGATAGAAGAGCCAAGTCATCTGCGAAGTCCAGATCGTCCAGCTGCGTCCTAACTGTCCAGTTGATACCGTGCTTCCCTCCAGATGTTGACGTCTTCATAATCCAGTCGATCACCAGGAGAAAGAGAAAGGGTGAGAGTAAACAACCTTGCCTGACACCGGTCTTCACCTCAAACGAGTTTGTCAGCTGACCTCCGTGCACGATTTTGCAGTTGAATCCATCATAAGAATTCCGAATGATGTTGACTATCTTCTCAGGCACACCGTAGTGTCGAAGAAGCCTCCACAGTGTTTTCCTATCCACGCTGTCAAATGCTTTCTCGTAGTCGATGAAGTTGATGTAGAGTGGTGAGTTCCATTCAATTGATTGTTCCACAATGATCCGTAATGTAGCAATCTGGTCAGTACATGATCGATCCTTACGAAATCCGGCCTGTTGATCTCGAAGTTGGGCGTCTACGAAGTCCTTCATTCTGTTTAACAATACTCTGTTGAAGGATGAATTTCGAGGTTTATGGAGGCCTTGGCTATTCGAAAATTAAGTGCCGCCTTATGTGTGCAGCTACAATTTGTCATAGACTTGAATTTACCCTGGTAATCTTTGAGCCTAGGGTAATATGACAATTTTCCTATCCTTTCCTATTCTTTTCATGTTACGTTAATTTTCTCTCTCCTGCATTTACAATTCTCACATTATGTCTATTTGAACCTTTATTTAATTGACCTTTTATTAAGCTTCATATAAAATGCCTTGACAAGTAAATATGTGTGACCAGATTGTTCGAAATGTTTAGCGCAAATACATCACATTTTTCAGATCAATTACGTCTTCTCACTGTTCTATTAAAAAATGTGTATCCTATGAAGATGATCTCAGCAGTGAAGTAATACTAATAACGTTCCCTGATGGTGATATACGTATCATACTTGTCGAATAAGCCAACAGTCAACTGGATATTGCATTACATCTCTGAAGTGAAAGGTACGTTGTTCAAGTCACAATATGAACATCAATACTGGGATGCGCGAAATTGAGTTGATAACTGCCAAACAGAGCGAAATATGCATTTCACCTCTGGTCCCAATTTATCTTTTACTATAAAATCTGTCTGTGGTAGGGTAATTGCTGAACATTGTTATGAAGCTTACGAAAAAACCTAGAACAAAGCTATATTCTTCCTGTCATACGTTCTGGTGAAATAGTGAATAGTTGTTGAAAAACAAAACATCTTATTAACAATAATTATAATACTAATACTACTACTAATAATAATAACAGCTTATTCAAACGTGTTTAGTACAATATGGAATTCTCAGCATTGAATATTTCAACAAGTTTCCGTTTCAATGCATATTGTCAGCCAACGTGATATCTCAAATTGTACTCTTATTTTTACCTTGTGAAGCAACAGGTCGTGAACATTTTACATACACATCTAAATAGATTGTGCGATTAATACACATAATTGACGTGTTAAAATAAAACAACAACAAGTAACTAACTTGTTGAGACAATTTGATGTTAGGTCAGTCAGTTGCAACGTAGAACTTCGTACGTATGTACATAAGTTCATGTTGCCATACCACATTATTAGCACAGAGACGCAAATGTCAAATCAAATCCCATAGTGATAGAGATATTAGAGGTATTAATGGTAAAGAAGAAGACTAGGGTTTGAAGATATTTATATTCAAGAAGTATAATTCATTGAGATAAGGTTAGAAAGACAAAGGTAGAAGTGCTGACGAATCCAGAAGATTAGGATTTGAGAGAGCTTAAAGAATGGATGCACTTGCGCCATTGCAAACGATTTTGAGCCATATCGTTCAAGGTCTCTAACCATTGGTGACTTTCGTCTCGCGGACCCCAACCAGGTAGTCTACATCTACCAACATGACTCAGTCCACTAGTCAGTGACTTCATGGATTTCTGCCATGTTTTGGTCTGGCCGCCCCTAGCTTTCTTCCAACCTACTCCTACACCACAAAACATAGCTCGTCGAGGCAATCGGTGGTTGGGCATTCGTAACACATGTCCCAACTACCTCAACTGATGAAGTTTCACTACTTCATCTATTGATCTGCTATCCTTACCGAGTACTCGTTTCCTAACAATAGCATTGCTTATACGGTTGTCCTACTGAGAAGACTGACACAGGCTTAACAGATTGTATTTAGCAAATTAACACTCTTAGTCAATTAAAAACGATAACATTACATTGAACACTCCATTTGCACACCATCTTTGAGTCCTGACTTCCAACGCTCCAGCCTTCTTCCATTCCTGCTGTTGCTTCCTTTACTTCCTGTCGGTGCTCTATTTCTTTCTTGCTTTTGCTCTATTTGCTTTCCGTTTTCCTCTTCTGACCGTAAGACTTCTTCTTTCACGTCCATTCTTATACTACTTATATCGTTCGTATAAGTAGCACACACCACACTCGTCCCCCCTTTAACAAGTCGCTCTCTCAGCCTTTCTGATCTCCGTACAGCCGTCTTCTTTATCAGTGTTTGTGGCTCGCCCTCTTGGCGCACTTGGAACCACCTTTGGAGTTCACTGGCATTCACGCGTTTCTGTTTGTTTCCTTTCTGGATCGTATACACTGCGCCGCGCCTCTCGGTTACTACGTACGGTCCCTCCCACTTCGGGATCAGCTTGCCTGACCCTTGCCCTCTTCCTGTGGTACATTTCCGTTCTCTACACTTCACTTGGTCTCCCACTTCAAACGGTCTCCAGTTCTTTCTCTCCTGTTCTGACTTCTGCATGTCTGATGTTTGTTTCTCTCTCACATTCCTGATTGCTTGTCTCCGCTCTGTTCTCAGTCTTGTTGTATTCCACCTCTGTTGTTGCGGCCAGGTCTTATCATGCGTTGGTAGTCTCGGCCGTCTGCCATACATCAGCTGGAACGGTGACTTCCTGGTTGTTCCCTGTGCCGAGGCACGATGTGCCAGCAAGATTAATGGTAATTCTTTCTCCCAGTCACCCCCTTTAGATGCTAGCCATTCCTTTAGCGTTCGGTTATTCCTTTCCGTTAACCCATTCGTCTGTGGATGATACGGCGTTGTTCGTATTCTATTGATACCTAGCTGCTTTAGACGGGACTTGAACTCATCACTCTCGAAACGGGGACCTTGATCGGTTAATATTATCTTTGGTATCCCATGGTCAGCCACAATGTGCCGCATTACCGCTTCCGTCACCGTCCTTGCACGTTGATCCGCCATCGGCACGGCATTTATCCATCGTGTGGCATGCTCAGTCATCACCAGCAGGTACTGGTTACCACTTATGGTCTGCGGGAACGGTCCCATAATATCTACTGACCACAAATCACCAACTGCTGTTACTGGAAATGACTGCAATGGCGGTCGTATGCATCGATCCCCTTTCATTAGTTGACATCGCTGGCACGCTAATACATATCGTGCAACATCGTCTCTCATACCTGGCCAGTACGCACTTTGTCGCAGCAAATCAGTTGTCCGTGCAATACCTGTGTGCGCTACCTGGTGACATTCACGAATCATGTCCTGGCGCAGATCTTTTGGGATTATTGCTACCCAATTCTCGTCATCATCCCGCCAGGTCAAGGCTCCGTATCCGTTCACTCTCAGTCTCTCCTTCTGCCTCAGCAACACTGTTAATTCTTTATCTGTTCCACTCTTGTCAACATCTTCTCCCTCTTTTATCACTCTGATTACCTCCCGAAGGTTAGGGTCGGCTTTCTGATGCCGGACGAGTTCTAGGGGATCTAACTCTAGGCCGTTAACTGCACACGCTATCTCTGGAAGTTCGGCTTCGGTGTCCGGTCTTGATAAATAATCTGCCATTACACCACGATATACCAGCAATGCTTCTTAAACATCTATGATCGAATACTAGTAACCTACGAACATCTTCTACTCTTAACGGCCATGTTTCGCATACATATAGGAGAACGGAGCGAACTGCTGCGCAGTACACCCGCCCTTTGGTTAGCGAACGGATATCACGCCTACGCCATAAGTGACGCAGGTTGGCAAAAGCCAATCGAGTTTTCTGTATCCGCGCTGAGATTTCGTCAGTCACCAGGCCATCAGCACTGATGAGACTCCCAAGATAAGTGAAGTGATCAACACGCTCGACTACTTCACTCCCTATCACTAGTTCAGGTGCCGATGAAACCCAGTCTTGAAGCAACATTTTGCATTTCGAGGGTGAGAACCGCATTCCGAATATGCTGGCACTGTTGCTTATGATAGTCAGAAGACTCTGTATTTTGTCAGAGTCTTCACCGAATAGAACTATGTCATCAGCATATTCTAGATCAGTAAGTGACTTTCCTGGTAGAAGGTCAACCCCTGAAAAATCTGACGAACTTAATGTTAACTCTAAGAGGATGTCTACGACAAAGTTAAACAAGAATGGAGAGAGTGGACATCCCTGACGGACACCCTTGATGTAGAGAATTCAGATGACAGTTCGCCATATGCTCTCACTCGACCAGTGGTGTCCGAGTAGAGAGCTTGTACAAGGTTAATGTACTTCTTTGGTTTACCTTTCAATGACAGACACTGCCACAGAACCTCACGATCCACTGAGTCAAATGCCGCCTTGAGGTCCAGGAAGACAACTATTGTAGGACGCCTAAATGCGTGTCTGTGTTCCAGGACCTGTCTCAGTGTGAAGATGTGGTCTATACAACCACGTCCAGGTCGAAAACCAGACTGGTTTTCTCGAGTCTGCTCTTCACGAGCTCTAGTTAGACGTCTAAGTATAATCGAGGCTAACAATTTAGAAACTATATTAGTTATACTTATTCCCCTGTGATTGTCACAACAGGACTTTTGTCCTTTCTTATAAATTGGGACAATTAGCGACTGAGACCAGTCAGATGGAATTACGTCCAGTTCCCAGATTCTACCTAAGATCTCGGTCAGTCTAACTGTTAAAACTGGACCACCATCCTTAAACATCTCAGGGGTAAGCCTATCAGGACCTGCTGCTCTACTTCGCTTCAGATTTCCTATAGCTTTCTCAACTTCATGTAGACTGGGAGGACGTAAATCGATTGGCCATTCAGGATGACTGGGGATCGTGGGCAACCGAAGTGTGGCTCGAGGCCAGTTGAACTGATCCCTAAAGTGTTCTGCCCATCGGTACAGTCTCCTGGATTGAGGATGAATAAGAAGACCATCCTTTTCCGAGATAGTCTCACTCACATTCGGGTTCCTAATACCGGTTTCTTTAATAAGGCGGAAAAGTTGTCTACTGTTGCCTATCGCCGCTGCCATTTCCATCGCTTTTGCTTTCGACATCCACCACTGTTCCCGGTCGTTACGCAGGCTTTTTATAAGTCTGCGCCTAAGCTGACTACGCTCTTCATCATGTTCAGAGTAAAGTGGGATGCGTTTTCGAGCATCCATCAGTTCCGTGGATGCGACTGAAATCCACGGCTTAATCCTAGCCTTATGGTTTATGGATTTGATTTTGACCAATCTGGTCTCGTGTGCTGTTACGGTTATGAGGACGGTTGTCACTTCCGGGCTGCCCACACCGTGGAAGGTTGTTTCTTGAGAGACCTGAAAAGGAAGATAGATTGGTGTTGGTCTTGGAGACCTGGGAGCGTGATCGCAGAGCCAAAGGGACAACTGCTTGAGGCCGGTCGCGCACGGCCTTTTTATGAGGAGTTTTTTGAGTGTTAGCTCCGCACTTGAAAGCCCTTAGTGGGCACCCTTACCGACGGAGACGGAAATCCGTGAGGTAGGGTGAGGGGTGACATTTTTAGGGTCGACCTTTTCTAACCCTTCCTTCCTTGTGAGAAGAGAGCATCGCTGCAGATGCTGGTTGTCCGAGGGAAACACCTTACTGCTGTCACACCCCTCTGCAGTCAGCAGTACGACTTCGCCCTCAGACCGTGAGTAGCTGCTTTTAGTCTCATCGCTCTCCAATCGACCTTCCTGGCATGGTAGAACCTTCAGGAACATGTGTTCTAGTCAATATAGCTCGGTTGGGTCATCACGATAGGCAAGCCCGACCACCACGTCAAGGTAGCAGCTTCGGTCGGGGTTTGATGTTAGGAAAACATATAGACCAAATAGTCACAAACAGGCCGTGCAAATATTCACCAAAATTTGAATAATAATAATAATAATAATAATAATATTTATTTCGATTTTACTTACTTGCCACCAAAACTTCTCTTTCTTATAACGATAAAAAGCAAAATGTGTTTCAATCCATTCACAAATATCACTAAATGTGATTTTATTCTTTTTTAATGAATTCATAGCCATGTAAATTAAAGTATGCGAATTAAATATTGGTTTATAATTTACATTGTACTGATAATTATTTTTTTCATAAAGAGATAATGTGTCATAATGAATGAATAATTTACTATTCTCTGTTATATTATGATAATTTTCTTCGGTGTTAAAACGATTGTCTATCGAATTGTGATTGATCGATGCCGTATAATGAATGTTGTGATGACTATTACTACTACTACTACTACTATTACTACTACCACTACTACTACTACTACTATTACTACTACTACTATTACTACTGCTACTACTACTACTGCTACTACTACTACTACTGCTGCTACTACTACTACAACTACTACTATTACTACCATTAATACTGCTACTGTTGCTATTGTTATTATTATTATTGCCACTATTATTGAATGTATTGCAATTGACGTGACTATTATCATTATTTATCATGTCAGCAGTAGTTGATGGGTTTACTGCTAAATTCATATCTGTTAAGGTTATTGACTGTTGATTGTTATTTTGAAATAGTTTTGGTACATTTGATGATACTGAATAATATTCAAATTTCAAAGTGTTCCCATTGAACAATGAAAAACCACTTCGTCTGTAATTGTTAGTTGTTGTATTGAACTCATGTATTATGTAACCACGATCAGGATAATGATGATGATGGTGATGATGATGATAATGTATTATGTAAGAATTTTGTGGTGATGGATTGCATGCCGCTATCGATGTTGCTGCCGCTGTTGTTGTTGTTGTTGTTGTTGTTGATGATGAGTTCGTCGTCATTGATGTTGTTATCATTGTTTTTGTTGACGATGATGATGATGATGATGACGACCAAAGCGTATTATTGGTTGGATTGAAATTCTGACGGGAAATTTATTTTTATAAAAAAAAAATTAGATGAATTATATATGTAGAATACATAAATCTACATCAATGAGAGAAAGAATCAATTCACCGGATCGAAAATTATAAAATAATTTTGAATCTTAAGTTTTAAGGAAGAATAAGGAGTAAATGGATTTACCCTGTTTAAATCAGTCTCGGCTCTTATCACCCGATTGATGTATTCAACATGCAAACTGCATTAGAATAGTGTGCATCTAGAAACACAAATTGTTCCAATGTTTAGCTGTATCATGCATGCATTGCTGTTATATCTTAGTTTGTGTTTCTTCAGCTCTATCATATCTTCCTTTATTCTATTCGAAAAGTAGCGAATGTCAAGGTCGACAGCGATTAAGAGAACCTAATACATACCGAACACCTCATTCATTCTCGTAATTCATGTGCATTTTGTAATGCTAAATGTTTTAGATGTGGTAAGATAGGACACATTCAAGCAGTATGCAAAGCTACTGTTCATTTTGTCTCAAGTAGTACAAAATCTTGTAATTTAGATCCCAATAATTCAGCTGATCCTAATGATCATTTATCTTTGTCTACCATTTCGAAAGGTAATGCTCATATTCAAAAGCGATTATATACATCACTTGGTTCATGCACGACTTTATTGTGGACACAGGCAGTATAGAGTCCATTATTTCATTCAAGAACTTGAAATCGTTAGATCCTAACGTTGTGGTACGACCCACTGAAGTATCAATATTGGGGATTACTGGACACAGACTGCCTATACGAGGATGTTGTGAATTGCTAATTATTTCATTCAAGAACTTGAAATCGTTAGATCCTAACGTTGTGGTACGACTCACTGAAGTATCAATATTGGGGATTACTGGACACAGACTGCCCATACGAGGATGTTGTGAATTGCTAATAAGAGATGATTATTCCCCATACATACCTTGTGAATTTTTAGTTAGCGAAACAAGACTGTCAATACTGGGTTTAAGGAATTTGAAAAGGCTTAAAGTGGAGTTGTCTTTCCTAGTTTCTAAAGAAAATTCTGATGCTTTACTTAAAGATTTGATAGCCACGTGTGCTAAGTGCAGTGGAGGTATGGAAATTCAGCCTATAAAACTTCAAGTACATGGTGATACAGTCTTTCTCAAAATACGAATATTTCCTTATGATTTTTGAGGTGAAGTGAAGAAGACAATGAATAGTTTGTGTGAAAAAGGCATAATTGAACCGGTTCAGTCTTCAGCATGGGGTGCTCCTATTGCTACGCCGCTGAAATAGGATGGCAAGACTCCTAGAATATGTGGTGACGATATACTAACATTGAACTCCCATTTGTTGAAGCAAACATGTACGACAGTAGAGGCTGAAGATATTCTAAATCGATTTCATGGTTCTAAAGTGTTCTCCAAAGTGGACCTAAAAGATGCTTATCTTCAAATCCCTTTAGATCAATCCTCATCTATTTTGACGACAATTAACACTCCTTTTGGTCTGTTCAAATAGAATTTCCTTCCATTTGGTCCAAGTTGTTCTCCAGGCATATTCCAGGAAGTTATGAATAAGGTGGTTAATGATCTTGAAGGTGTTGGAGTTTATCAAGATGATCTGATTGTTCATGGTGCTGATAAGGGAGTTCATGACCAGAGACTTATTGCCTTTGAGATGGTGGAGAAAACTTGTAGCTCAGGTGGATGATTGTGGTGGTGTTTCGTTCTCTGAGCTCAGAGAACGAATAATACATTCTTTGTAACATCAGAACTCCGCCAGTAGAACCTTCGGGGCTACTGCCGGTCCCAAGCCCGGATAAAGAAGGAGGGTTGGACATGGGGTTGGCGACCCCATTCCGTCGAAATCTAATTTGCCAAAAAACGCTAACCAGAAAAAATAATTCAAACCATTTTAACTCTGCCCTGGCAGTTGGAAGAAGAACTATGACGTCGTGCGATGAAAGCCGAGTTCGCTCGGAAGTCACGGGGCCGATGCCTCTTCTGAAAACCAGAGCAACCATTCGTTTAGGTACATGGAACGTTCGTACATTGTGGGAGACTGGAAGACCATTTCAAGTTGCGGCAGAAATGAAAAGATACAACCTCGAGGTGTTCGGCATCAGTGAAACGAATTGGACACAGGTAGGACAACTGAGACTTGCTTCAGGGGAACTGCTGTTATACTCTGGTCATGAAGAGGAAAATGCTTCACATACACAAGGAGTTGCACTGATGCTGTCCAAACAAGCACAAAAGGCACTGATAGGATGGGAATCTCATGGACCCAGGATCATCAAAGCATCCTTCAAAACAAAGAAACAGGACATTACAATGAACATCATCCAATGTTATGCACCTACCAATGACTACAATGACGACGTTAAAGACCAATTCTACGAAAGGCAGCAGTCAATCGTCGAGAAATGTTCACTGAAGGATTTGACGATTCTTATGGGAGACCTGAATGCCAAGGTTGGCATGGACAACACTGGATATGAAGACATCATGGGACAACACGGACTGGGAGAAAGGAAACGGACCACACTACTCAAAACCAAATTGACCATATCTGTATCAACAAAACGTTCAGAAGGACCATGGAGGATGTGAGAACCAAGAGAGGAGCTGATATAGCCTCAGATCACCACTTGCTGATCGCCAAAATGATTCTGAAACTAAAGAAGCACTGGACAACGGGGCAGACAACATCACACAAGTTCAAGACAGCCTTTCCTCGGGATACCGTAAAACACAACGAATTCAAGATAGCCCTCACCAATAGGTTCCAGGCCTTGCACGATATACTCAATGGAGAGGAGGCAACATTGGAGAACAATTGGAAAGGGATCAAGGAGGCAATCACTTCAACATGTCACGAAGTTCTGGGTCACAAGAGGTACCATCACAAGGAATGGATCTCTGTTGATACTCTTGCAAAAAGCGAAGAAAGGAGGAACAAGAAGGCAGAAATCAATGTCAGCCGAACAAGGGTAGAGAAAGTTAAGGCACAAGCTGCACACACAGAAGCAAACAGGGAAGTGAAGAAGAGCATCAGAGCTGACAAACGAAAATATGTGGAAGATCTAGCAATGACGGCGTACCGTCAAATTGGGCAGAAGGATACCTGACACTCTTCTTTCAATACCAGGCGGTCTTCAACAGGGTATTGTTAAACAGAATGAAGGACTTCGTAGACGCCCAACTTCGAGATCAACAGGCTGGATTTCGTAAGCATCGATCATGTACTGACCAAATTGCTACATTACGGATCATTGTGGAACAATCAATTGAATGGAACTCACCACTCTATATCAACTTCATCGATTACGAGAAAGCATTCGATAGCGTGGACAGGAAAACACTGTGGAGGCTTCTCCGACACTATGGTGTGCCTGAGAAAATAGTCAATATCATACGGAATTCTTACGATGGATTCAACTGCAAAATCGTGCACGAAGGACAGCTAACAGACTCTTTCGAGGTGAAGACCGGTGTCAGGAAAGGTTGCTTACTCTCACCCTTTCTCTTTCTCCTGGTGATCGACTGGATTATGAAGACGTCGACATCTGAATGGAAGCACGGTATTCAGTGGACAGTTAGGACGCAGCTGGACGATCTGGACTTCGCAGATGACTTGGCTCTTCTATCGCACACTCAACAACACATGCAAGAGAAGACGACCAGTGTAGCAGCAGCCTCTGCAGCAGTAGGTCTCAACATACATAAAGGAAAAAGCAAAATTCTCCGTTGCAACACAACATGCGCCAACCAAATCACTCTTGACAGAGATGCCTTGGAGGACGTTAACACCTTTACATATCTGGGCAGCATCATCGACGAGAAAGGTGGATCCGATGCAGATGTGAGGGCGCGGATTGGCAAAGCAAGGGCTGCATTTCTACAGTTGAAAAATATCTGGAACTCCAAACAACTTTCAACCAAAACCAAAATAAGGATTTTCAATACAAATGTCAAGACAGTTCTACTGTATGAATCGGAAATTTGGAGAACTACCGAAGCCATCATTCAGAAGATACAAGTGTTTATTAACAGTTGACCACTCAAAATACTTCGTATTCGTTGGCCAGACACCATCAGCAACAACCTACTGTGGGAGAGAACAAACCAGATGCCAGTGGAGGAGGAAATCAGGAAGAAGCGGTGGAAGTGGATAGGACACACACTACGAAAAGCACCTAACTGCGTCACGAGACAAGCCCTTACATGGAACCCTCAAGGCAAAAGGAAAAGAGGAAGGCCAAGGAACACATTACGCCGAGAAATAGAGGAAGATATGAGAGGAATGAACAAACATTGGACAAAACTGGAGAGGGAAGCCCAGGACAGAGTTGGTTGGAGAAAACTGGTGAGCGGCCTATGCTCCATTGGGGGTAACAGGTGTAAGTAAGTAAGTAAGTTGTAACATCAGATTTCCGATATTAGTGACTCATGATTATTTGTGTTATTATTATTATCATTATTATCTTCAAATATTGAAAAACTGAACATTGTTTTACAGTAACTTTAGCAATATTTGGAGCCCGTTCGAGCAATGCATAGTGTGTTCAAGTACTTAAATATTATAACTTCTTTACAAGACATGAATGCTATACGGCATGAGTGAGATATTAAATAAATATTTACTCAAGAGTAAGTATGAACATCGTAATGTATTCAGTTCTAAATATTAATTCCATACAACCTAATCCCTTGATAAATTTAAATAAAGCAAGAAAAAATAGTTTTATTCAGAATAATAAAGGAATTCATTATCAATGAATGAAAGGATCAAAGCGGCGTTAAAGATAAGCTTCTCTGGAGCCTATTTCAGGTGCATAGCATATCGAATGTTCTTCAAATCACTCAAAAGTAGATCAATACAATTCTCAGGTCACCTGTAAAATGCATTAACGAATCTACAGGCACTTGTTAAACTACGTAGGAAGGACTAAAAGAAAGGCATCTACAAGGTTTTCGGAATATATTGCCCGTAAGTGATGTCCAAGAGGAAGTACAGCTTGCAAAAGTGTGATCGCTAAACATTAAAAATGCATAGCGGACATAATATGGATGCCTTAAAAGTATCCAAAATACTAAACAGGCAACGTAAATCACTTTTGCCCCATTTTGTAGAGGTCATTTCCAACAAGCGCTTTCGACTTGATCATTGTACACAGAAAAGAAAGTGTGATAAACTCATTATTTCCATAGTATGATAGTTTTATTATTTTTACGCTTGTCTCACATTCTATCTTCATTATGGTGTACAATTTTAAGTAAAAATATCCTATTGAGACATTCACTTAAGATGTTAACTTTAATGTTATGTTAAATAGGTGATTCTTGATTATCAGTCATTTGGTAA